TTTTTCTTTGTATATTTTGTTTCAAAAGAGTTTGAAATACTGGCTGAGCAGTTGGAAAAAATGAGGGTGGAAATGAAGGGAACTGGGAAACAAACAAACAAACCAAATGGCTGAAATGGGAAAAAAGAAGGTCCCTCTACTCTCTCCTTTCTGAAAGGGTTACAGAGTTGGCAGTCCAACTGAAGAGGTGGAAATACTTCAGAAGCAAAGAGCACTGGAAAAGAGAACAAAAAGGCTCAGTCCAGCAAGAGAGAAGGAATTTCCTGCAGGAGGAAAGAGAAAAAGAGACTGTGCTGGAGAGCAGTTGGGTCAGAGAAAAGCTGAAAAGGCAGAAAGAAAATCTGATTAAACAGCCCATTTCAAAAGAAGGAGTTGAAGTCAAACCAACCTCCCTCCCACCCCTGCCAAAAGGGGAGAAGAGGCCTCTCAGGTTTTCAAGATCACCATTAGCTTTCCCAGCACATTACTGCTAACAGTGTGGGATTTCTATAGGATGGTGTCCTACAGAAATGATAGATCTAAGGTGTTTTAGAGAGTCTATGATTTCATATAGAATGCACTTGCTTTATGTGATTCAAATTCTAACTAATGGGTTCCTCAAAATAGAATTATTCTCCAAGACTGGAAGAGGTTGTTAACAGCCGTGGTAGAAGCCAGTCCACAGTGCACTGGTTAATGAGGTGAAGGGCGGACGCCATGAATACTGAATAGTGAAATAGGGCAAAGGGAATGAATATAATAATAGATCAGTTGCTGGGTGAAGTACAGAACTCTGATTTACAAGAACAGATTGAATTTGATGATGTTACTATGAACAGTGTCACTTAGTGGCTTTAAGAGCTTGGGACAAAGTTGAGCCCAGGAAAAACTCCACTTTGCTTGCAAAGATTATACAAGGCTCTGGAGAAGCCTTCACTGTTTTTGTTTGTTTTTGTTTAGTCTCAGCTGTGAACAAGCTGGATCATACCCTAATACAAGACAGGTCTTGATAGAGACCATGGTAAATGAAAATGTGAATGCTGAATGTAAAAAGTTATTAAGACCATTATAGGTGCAAGTAGCACATATGGAAGACCGCATAAGGGATATGACTGATATTAATTCTAACGTTTACCATGCTAATATCATAGGTCAACCTATAGCCAGAGGTCTCTGATATCAAAGTGGCAGGTACTTCAATGGCAGAAAATATGGTCATTTGCAGAGACTGTGACCAAGCCTCTAAAGGTCTCAGATCTCAAAATGTTCGGTACTTTAATTGTGAGAAATTATGGTCATTTGCAACAACATTATGAATAAGGCATCTCTAAAGTAATGGTTTTAATATATCTATATAATATTTACTATATATATATACCACAAAGAAACCCTAGGCTTCCAAGTGATGTAGCAAGGGTTGTCTTTGGACCAAAAGAGATAGATGGTCCAAAAAAGATAGTCACGGTAATTTACTATTGGAAATCAGCCTATTTTAAGGTCAGCCAAGGAGTGACATGCAGATCAAAAACCTTCACTCAGCATTGGAGATTTAGTGCTTACTACTGTAGGCAGTGCTGCTCTAGACTTCACTATACGTTAAACACATTGCACTTGCCCTGAATATTCAGTGTTATAAAATAGTTACTGGAGTTATGGCCTTCTGCCCTAGGAGTGGATTGACTTTCCAAGGATTCATTGTGCACCCAGGAATTATAGATGAAGCTTTCAAAGGAGAAACTAAAACTGTGGTCTATGTAATAAGAGAAACACAATTTAACTCAGGTGCTAGGATTGCTCAGCTGCTACTATTTCCCTACATCAAATGCAAAACTGCTTCTGTAGAAAAAAATAGGAGGGTTTGGAAGTATTGCGAAAGGTGTGTTCTGGCAAACAGCGCTTAAGTATCAGAGCCGAAAGTAAAATTGCAAGTAAAAGTTATTGAAATAGAAGGTTTGGTGAATACAGATGCTGAAGTAACTATCATTTCACAAAAATCTTGGAATTCAGAATGGCCAGTTCAAAAGGCTTATATCCACTTTCTACTTATTGGAAAGTTACCTCAGATAAAACAAAATGTGTGATGAGTTAAATGTGTGGGACAGGATGGTCAAAAAAGGAAAGTTAAAACCTTATATGGCTGACATACCCATACATTTACGGGGAAGGAATCTTTTACGACAATGGGGTACTCACTGATATTCCTATAACCCCAGAGACAGCCCATGATAAAATAAGGGGTAAGATGCTAGATGCTCCTGAGGAAGTTATTGATATACATCATCAAAAACAAGATCAGGCTGTGCCAATTGTCCAAACACAGGATATAACAAGGATTGAGTTTCCAAAGGGAGAACCACTGTTGAAGTAGCAAAGGCCCTAACCTTAAAATGGTTTACTGAAAAGCCTGTATGGGTAGAACAATGGCCCTTAAGTAAGGAAAGATTACAGGCATTTGAGCAGCTGGCACAAGAGCAGCTAAAGGCTCAACATAAAGAGGAGCCTACCAGTAAGCAGCCTCTCTACAATCTAATATTCTGCAAGTTCAGACCTTGAAGGCTTCAGCTTCCACCTAACCTAGGCCTAGAATGTTTTCAGCCTCTGAGATTTGCTGCTGAATAAACTCATCCTTTCAAATTCTAAACTCTGGCTGGCTCAAAACTCCTCTCCAAGCAGATTCAAATTGGCTTCTCACTGACCAGCTCTGCTTGGAAAAGCTGCCTCTGAACTCCACAAACTGAACTCCACCTGACTGCACTAACTTTATTGTAGTCCCTCCTGTACTGTACTTTCCTCCTCTCGACTCTTTGTGCTGCTCTCAAGTAGCTTCTTTGTTTGTTCTCATCAGAGTTGGACACACCATATCTGTCTCATTAAACCTTTCTCTAATTCATCACTTTGTTCCTCAATTAGACATCATTGGGGATCAAAGGTATATACTAAACGTGTGTGTGTATATTACAGCCAGAGGAATTAAAGGTGTGCATCCCAGCTAGAGAAATTAAAGGTGTGTAATAAGGATGTGTTTGTATTCCAGCAGGATCACACAGACCTAGGTCTCTGGATGTGATCCCTTGCCAGAGTAGCTATGTGGCTAGATTAAAATTCCTCTACAATCCCAGAAAACTCCTCCTCCCAAGAAACCATATATAAGCCTGTTTCCTGCTCAGTTCTTTGCTGCTTCTCACTCAGAGGCAGCAACCCTCATTTCTTTTAGAATGAATCTCTTTTGTGAGGTTTGTTGTGCAATGTGATTTGCTGGTATTCCTTGACTCCAGACTGCCAGGATACCTTTCCCTTCAGAGCTGCAACAATTCCCTTGGGGGACACCCCCCCCCCCCCCCGTAACACTTAAAGTAACTTCCTTCTCTACTGCAAGCTCCTTCAGGGGAGGGCTGAGTACTTAAACTTTGTATCCTCACTCTGCTCGGCAAAGAAAGGATTTCCTATTTACTGACTATGGTAATGAGTTGTTTTAATTCATACCTCTGACCTGTAGATTTTTAAGACAACTGCAGCTATTGTACTACTATGACTAAATGTATTAAGTCAATTGCCAACTTCTGTCCAGAAAACCATTTTTCAGGTATGCCCAAGGAACAGCTGGATACCTCCAAGGGTTCTAGGTGCTATACAAGGTGTGGTAGCTACAAGATTAGGCTTTGGAGTCAGACAGAGTTAGGTTCAGGTTGACTTGCTAGTTTAATCTTTTGAATACCTATGGAAATAACGATAAATCTTACTTAGGTTGCCAGTGTGTAGCCACCTCCAGGTTTACCCCTAACACAAGCAGGAGGCAGAGCAGATCAATTTCTTCCTTAAGTGCTGTGGGAAGGCTGCTGTGGCTGGACGCACAGGTGACAGAGAGCTGAGCTTTGGCTTAATAGTTTATTGTATAAACCATTCTACTTGGACTCCTTAGAGAAGTCAAGGTGAATACTGGGTATTACAGAATTTTTATACCTCTTTATCTTTGTTGGTTCTCTCCTCTGTTTCCTTGTGCCCCAAGCTGGCCTCCTTCCTTTTCTCCTTCCCCAGGTGCCCCAATTCTGCTGGTACATGGATCCTATTGCTCTTTCCTCCTTCCCCAAGACCTTTTCCCCTTTTAATGATCCCTTTTCTAGTTTCATGACCTATATCTATATTCACATTTATACATAAATATATAAACTGAAATCTAGGATCCGAATGAGAGAAAACATTTCTCATGTGAGACATTCTTTTTAGAAGCCTGGAATCCAGGCTGGGTTCCTCAGGTCTTACCTGGCTCCACTGGTAATTGAGTAATGACTCAAATTTTTACATCTGAAATTTTCTCAGTTCCAAAGAGCTGGGGAGATAGCTCAGTTTATAAAGTGCTTGCCACAGAAGCATGAAGACCTGAGTTTGATCCTCAGGACCCATGAGTTCAAAGCCAGCCAGCCTAGCCTTTTAATGAGGTGGGCAGCTCTTGAGGAAAGACATCCAAGGTTACTTTTGGCCTCCATGAAAGCTTGAATATACATACATACATACATACATATACAGATACATAAACGGACATATACATAAACACACTCACACCCAAACACACAATTTCTGTCATTCCAGTTTGAAAATCTTGCAAATTACTCAAATTGGCCTGGTCCACGTCAGAAGTGCACTCATAAATCAGTCAACTGTGGGTAGAAACAAAAAAAAAAAAAAAAAATTAACCCATTTAGTTCCTACAGAGATATCAGGCTCAGGATACAACAGCTGCCCCCCCTCCCCAGAAAAGAATGCTGAGCAAGAGCACAGCTGCCCACTGCACAACCATACTGTACACTAATTTACACAAAGTCATGAAGAAAACCACATTAGTATAGATGGCCAGTACTTAGATGGCTAAGAGGCTTGGAGCTGAGCAGAAGCAAGCAAGATGAGGGAGAAATAGGAAAAACAGAAAAACTACAGAGAAACCACAGAACACCTGATATTCCTCCTACCTTACCACCTAAAGGCAACATGAGTTTATGAAAAGTTATTTGTGAAGAGAGTAAACATTTAAAATCAAGTAATATTTTTATTTTCAAAGTCTCATAGAAAATTTGCAAGAATGGTACAGAGTTCCCACACAGCCCCTCCGCGAGGTTCTACTTTAACACCGTACATCCGTAAGTGCATTTTCCACAGTTAATGAGGTAGGCTGGTGTTCTATTAATTGCACAGTATGCAGACTTCCTTAGCCCTTTCTGCTTCAGCATCTTATCCAGGAGAACACTGTAGCAATCACATCTCCTTAGATTCTTCCTGCTGCTGGCAGCTTCTTAGATTTTTTTTTCTCATTTTTGATGACCTTGACAGTTTTGAAGACTATTCATCAGGTTTTTGTAGAATATTTTCTAACTCTTCCTGAATTGAGACATGTCCATTTTTCCTCACATCGTGGGGAAGGTGTCGTTTTCATCATGGCATACCCAGTATGGGTACTGCCAACACAGCTTTCATTGTTAAGCCTAACTTCAATCACCTGGCTGAAATGGCACAACAAACATCTGTGTTACAAGCTACAGCCAATTACAATAATTTCCAGGATAGAAAAATAAATAAATTAAAGCACATCAAGAAAATTAATTTGATTTTTCTGATTTCAAACTTGAAAGACACTACTTTTCTTCAGCAAGCACAGGGCCTATTAAAACAATGATCACATATTCTTAGCTATCGTAGGAAGGTTAGCACATTGAAGGTAGTAGTTAGTACCTTTAAGGGCTAACTATCCTTGTCAATAATATTATCCAAATCCACTGAACATATTACAATAAAAGCAACTTAAATGGCATAGTGGCAGATACCTATAATGGCAGAACTCAAAGCTGAAGCACAAGGATCACAACTCTGAGGCCAGTTTGGGGTATATATTCAGACCAGGTGTCCAAAAAAAATATTGTAGAACCATTACTGCTTGCTTGGTATATGATGCAAGCCAACCTAATTAAATCATTGCATGAAAAGAACGTATATGTTCACTCGAGTAATAATTCAAAATTTTAGCTATTATAAGAAATCTTGACAACTATTTGTATTATTTTTGTTCTTTTAAACTATTTTAATATTCATACATGCATATAATGTGTTTTGATCAAACCTATCATTTATTCCCTTACTACTTTTCTCTCTCAACTTCATGAACTGATTTTTTTTTTCTTAAATGTTCACCATGTCCATTAGTGCTACCTATGTGTCCATGCCTGTAGGACTATCTACGAGTAGCCTCTAGGGCCCAGATCACTGAAGAAACCAGACAGTCCCTCCTGGAACAGCCATCATATGTCAATAATTCCTCGGAATGGGGTAGGACTGCATACTTCCCTCTCCCATACATGCAGGGATCTGGGCTGCCTTGATCTTGTTTTCACAATTCTTGGTCAAATATCATTAAACCTTTACCTAGTAATGCTTTTGAAAGTGTCTGACCACAAGAAAACAAGCTGAGAATTATGATTTTATTTTTTTTCAGGTTGAGGATACAAAAGAGAAGCAACTACAAATAGGGAGAGACAGTGATGTAAACACAAAGTCCTCAGTATGTTCTCAAGTTTCCCAGTTTAACAATTTGGGTACCAGGAAAAGCTCGATTAAATGTATAACATCCTTTTGTAAAAATTGTGTGGAAACATTCACAGAGATATGTGTAAAATATATTTACCCATAAGGAGGGAGAATAGTCTATAGCCAAGCATATGGAAGTTGTAGGCATTCTGCATGAACGGACTTCACTAACTATCAGAATAAATGCACTTTTAAACCTTTCTACCCTAGATGTTTCCCAAACATCATCAGGGAACACTTTTATTATCATACATTTATCCACCAACTGATGCTTTGAAGTAATTTTCAAAATGCTGTTTGTGCACATAAATACTAAATTCTTATGGTGAGTCCATTAACAACCTATTTTAGTGCACTACAGAAAATTAGCGACATATACACCTCAAATAATTTTATTTCTTTACAGAATTACATCCAGAGATCTAGTTTTATAAACTACACCAGTGCAGAAATGGGAACTGCTACCAAGACATTACCAGTGACTGAAAGCACATAGCACAATAGTCACAAACACTTTGAAGTACTGTAGAGAGGACGGGGCAGGGGCACCGCTGGCTTAAGGAACCACCAAGGAGAGGAGATACACGAATGAGGCTACCTTTGGTCTCTTAAAGCACCTCTGAGCACTAGTGGGGCATGGGAACTCTCCATTACTGAGCTGGTTCAGTGCCATTCTCTCCAGCCTCCTGATAAAATGGCATCTCAGGGGTCTGTGGAACTCACCTGGTTCCCACAAAGAGAGTGAAATGTCTCTGGAAGCATGACTATATAACCCTTCATTACCCTGAACTAGTAACATCAGAAGCTAGTTATAAAAGGAGGAACAAAGGAACCCTTGACTGCTAACAGTATGGAAAGATAGAGGTGGCAGGAGGGAGGAGGCCTGATGTGCCTGAAGTGAGTAGCCTGAAATCTGGAATGAAGTTTTCACAAGAAGCTACATTGTAACTGATGAATCACTTTCAAGTTCCGTTCCATTCCTGATAACTGGGTTATGCTATTCTTCAATTACATCTATTTACAATACAACAGTCTCCTACCATTGTTTCCTAATACAGGGTCTCACATAACGCATGCTGTCCTGGACTTGCTTTGTGGCCTACACTAACCTTGAACATGTGATTCTCCTCTTCAGCCTCCTAAACCCAGGGATTATAGACAGGTCAGTGTCACCATATCCAGTTTATAATACAAATTCTTCTAAAATTTAAGAAGGCATTTTGTGTTCTAAGACTTTACACACTAAATAATAAAATATAAAGAATTTATTGGCAAATTGTGACCATTTCAGTTAGCATCCAATATTTTAATTTTTTTTCACCTTGAGATGCCTACTTTAACTCTTTTCAACACAGGGTTTAACAGTCCACCTGGAGTCTTAACTTTCAATGGCCTTGAACTCATGATGTCCTGCCTACACCTCCCTAGTGCTGGAATTACAGGTATCTGCCACCATGCCCAGTTATGCCCACTTTTAAAGCATTCCCTAATTTAAACAATGCTGATTGGCAAATTTCTTAACTTTTCATTTGGAAAGCTAGTATAGTGTGAATAGAATGTAAAAAGAAAGTGCCTTAGAAAGAAATACAATTTACCTACATTTCATTTGCTTCTGTTATTCAATGCAAAAATACATACTTCAAGAAGTGAAAACACTGTGGCAGAGGAAGAGTACATCGCAATGAATGTGAGGGTCTGGCTGAGTGCAGCGGGGAGCACTGCAGCAGCAGAAGCACTGCCTTCTATGAACTGGAACCAACCAGGGGTAAGAACATGCTTTAGAGAATACAATGAAAAAATACAATGCAGTAAGCACCTTTGACGATGCTGGCTTAGAAACATCAATTCTAAAGTGGGAGAGTGGGCTCAGCACCCATATCAGGGATCTCACAACCTGTAACTACAGTTCCAGGGACCCAACACCCTGTTATGAATGCTAAGTGCACCTGTGCTCACATGTGCATATGTGTACACACACATGCACACACACACACACACACACACACACACACACACACACACACACAGTTAAACCCTTAACAGTGCATTAATTTCTCTGGAGAAGAGGAATGTAAATCAAACTGTACAGAGGTAAATGGTACTTATGTAATGGGATCAGAAGTCACCTGAGGGTCTAGGAAGGCAGCTGGGTCATCTTCTCCCAGCATCAGCGTTGCTGCACCAGCTCCTTAGCTGACATCTAGAATGTTCAACAGCAGTGTCGAGGCCTGTGTTAGGACTGGTCCTTCTCTTTTAATACACTACAGTGCATACACTGCCATGTCAGGAGGCATTATCACACATACATTACAACTTTATCATAAGTAGAAATTAAAGTACATTTTGCTCAGCTGAGCTTACTCTTCTAGATATTTATTTGCTCACTTTCCAATCTGAAAAATTTAATAACTTGTAAATAGCCTTTTGGTCATTAATGCACACTAGTAATATTATAACTTGAATCAAAAGCAGTTATTTTTTAAAAGGGGATACATACCAGCAAAATATCAACCAAGCACTTAATAGGTATTCTATAGTTCACTTTATAGGAAACCCAAATGAAAATTACTCTCAAAATACCTCATTCATTAGACTACACAAATGGAAAGCTCAATCTAATGAGACGGCTGTAGGCCTTTGATCTACAGAAAGACCAAAAACAGAGCAATTTTAATTTGAGTCTTTATGATACTGTCAGGAAACTACAGCCTTTGATTTGGGGAATGACATTGAAACAATGATCAGTAAAGACACAGATTTCCCCCCAAATCCCAAGATGATCCAGGAATGGACAAAAGGTAAAGGTAAAAGCTTTTCTAGCTGGCTTGCTATTAGAAGCCTGGAAGCAGCACAGAGAGGCACAAGCCAACATACTGCAGGCACAGAATGGCAGAGTCCCGCAGGCCGCTTTCCTGTGGGATTCAGCAAATCCCAGCTTTCAGCCTCACCTGTCTTACTCATCACATGCTCAAGCAGTCAGAGCTACTACAAAAGCAACTCAGCGCTGGGTTTCTGTTGTAACCTGTGGTTTCCAGTCAGTCTCTCCACAGGGATGACTTCAGAGTGTCAGTACCGCCCCCACAGGGGCACATGCGCCTCTGGGTGTACATGAAGCTGCACTGTGAGGACCAAAGGGATGGAGGTACTCTCAAACGTTACTGGAAAAGCTACGAAAGGAAAAATAAAAACGAAGGATGTTTACCCTGTTCTAAGACATAATCATCATTTCAAGTCTTTAAAACCTAAAGAGGTAAGAAGCTCCTTGGAAATGTCTGTTAACGGAAAGAAACACGCTCCATTATCTGTCAGACCACCTGTAAGCCCAGAATTCCAGATGCAGCATGTCCTAGGAAGAATAATACCGTGCATTAGCATCCATGTCTTTTTAACTGCGGTGTTATCTTGTAAGTGCATGATATGTACGTGCAAGTGCACGGCATATAGACATGTGTCACAGCATGAGCTCGGAGGCCAAAGGACAACTTCTGGGACTCTATTTTCTCCTTCCACTGTGGGTCCCCGGGATCAAACTCAGCTTGTCAGCTTGTGCAACAAGCACTTTTACCCACAGAGCCATCTTCCTGGTCCAACATCCATTTTCTTGAATCCTTGGTGGGACTTTTCTTTAAGAAGGAGAATGGGAATGTAGACGCTGACTGACGGCTTCACCAACATCACATGAGATGGCTCTTGGGTTTGCCACACAGTTGGAGCTTCTTTGTTGTGAGCAATTGTGCCAGGTGATTAAGAAATACCAGAAAGATGGTCATGGACATGACAATCACATAGTGGCTGATGCTGTAAAAGGAGATGAGAAACATGTAACAGGAAGGGAGATAATTTATAAGAAAAAGCACAAGATTCTTCCAATTTTTAATTGAAGGAATTTTTAAGCAGATGGTCAAAACATGGAATTAAAAAAAAAAAAGAAAAGAAAAGAATTAGAAAAGGTACCAAAGATTTAAAAATAGACACCAGGAGCTATAGAGGTGGCTCTGTGGATCAAGTGCTTCCCAAGCAAGCACCAGGACCTGAGCTTAGATCCCAGCACTCATGTAAAAGTCAGATGTGCCAGCACATGCCTGTGATGCCAGTGGAGGAGGTGAAGCCTGGAGTAACCCATGTTCTTACTGGTCAGCCAGTCCAGGTAATTGATAAGCCCCAATGTTAGGTCTCAAATCCAGCATAAATGGCTGAGGTACATATTTAACATATTAGAGTGAACTTGGGCACCAGGTTCTCTAAGCATTCCTCAGTCTCTACCTGTTACAGGGTATGGCTGGCATACCTCGACCCCTGCCCTAAACTTCTCCAAGTCAGGGATTGGGCTGTTCTTCCCTCAATTGCCCTTCCCTAGGCCTATCCTTTACTCTCGTGGTGTCCTGCTTTTCCCTCTCCTCACATGGTCATGTTTACTGTGGACTATCCTAGATGTCCTTCCTCTGGCTATGCTCTCTATGTTTTATCTACAATAAAGCTTCTCCTTCCTCTACCATACCTAGGACCAGTCATGTCCTCCCTCCCCTCCCCACTCATTCACCTCATGGTGAAACCACAGGATTGACATAAATGAGCTCTCTTCCAAGAGATCTGGCCTCTCCAAACCAATTTGCTGATCGGACTCTCCTAAGGTATGTACTGATCATTTGTGTTTGTTTGTTCCCCGCCCCCCCCACCCCCCCCGTGGCGTTAGTACTTACATTTGATTCCAAATTCTAAAGCCTGCCTCTTTAGCTGCTTTCTCCCTTCACCTACTCTAAACCACCCAGCTCCCACCTACTCAGTAAGCATCCTCTCTCTGGCTCCTGAAGCTTTCTATGTCCTTAAGGTTGTCTATAATATAGGCATCTCCCTGTTATGCCCTCTGGGGCCCAGCACGTGGTCGCTTTCTACTTACTAAATACTTTCTCCTTTCCCTCTTTTGGAACCCTCCCTTTCTCTCAAAGCCTCTCCCAGTACACCTTTTTCATTTGTTTTCTCACCTACTTGCTCCTCTCTTCTCTCATTCACTACTTGGTCAGTGCTTGCAAAGCTACCTTTTTTATCTAATTTTACTACAAAAGCCACGCTGGTGTGCTAGAATGTTTCTCTCAGCTTACTGGGCCCCTACCACATGGAAAAGGGTGCCTCTCCTTTGTGTTTGGGACATTTCTCTTTGACAAGTGTCTCAGTCTGCTTGGGAATGCCCTGGGTTGAAATTTCTGTCACCAAGATACTTAGCCGGTCTGCTCCCTCATGACCTCTCTTCAGCTTCTTTCTGAACTGCCTCACCTTCCCCGAGGAGTGGCCTGCTAAGTTCCACACCTTCTCTACATGCTCCTCTGCCTGTACTGCAGCCCTCTCTTTACCTCCCACTCAGGCATGTTTGCAACTCCCTCCTGGATTTTCCTCTCCTCCCCTTTGAAGCTGCCTGCTCTGTCTCTTCCCATATTGGGAATCCCTTGGGCAGAGCTCCTATACTTTTCGACTCTATTCCCTCTCAGCTCCCTCCTGAAAGTCCCTGCAGCTTTTCTATGCCTTCCTGGGTCTGTGGCCCTTTCCTTCCCCCCCCCCCCCCGCCTCTTAGAGCTACCTGCTCTATTTCTCCTAGTGCCCTCCTGGACTTCTACACTGTGAGTTTCCTTGCCTGCCGCTAGGAGCTGGCTGCTAAGCAGGTGCCTTGTCCCTCCTGGTAATCCTGCAACTTCCGTATGCTCTAGGCCTCTAGGAGATTGGAACCCCCCTCAGGTGGAGTTCCTGTTTGTTCCTCCCAGTCCCTCATAACTACACTGTCACTCGGCTCCCTCTTGGAGCTTATTGGAACCCTCCCTATGTTGGAGTTCATCTCACCAGCCTTTTCTCATTTTCTCCTCAGGCTAAAAGATTTTAAAGCCTCACTGCCTTACTGAAAATGGCTTGGCCTCAGTACAGCTGCTCTGTGGGCAACGATGGCACAACCATTTTCTGCCACTGCACAAGCAGCAAACTATCTCTTCTAAGATTTTTCAACTTTTCCTTTTTTTTTTTTTTTTGAGACAGAGTTTCATCTGTGTGGCCCTGGCTCACTTTGTAGACAAGCCTCTGCCTCTCTGTTTGTCAATGTATCTCCTTTTTAGAATAAGGAAACAACAGCAGATCTCCAAAACAATTTTAAATTGGTATGGGCTTTTGTATGATGATAAAATTTTAAGGTTAGAAAAGTCAACTTAGGCCAGGCATGGTTGGGCATTCCTGTAATCCCAGTACTTGAGGAGGCAGAGGCAGGTGGATCTCTGTGAGTTTGAGACCAGCCTGGTCTACAAAACGAGTACAGGACAGCTGATGGTACACAGAAACCCTGTCTTGAGAAAAACACAACAACAAAAAGGTCTATTCAGATTAACAAGAGCTGAATTAGATCTAGATTTACATGTAACTGCTAACACTCAAAAATTTAGATAAGTAACAGTATGTTTCATTTATAAGGTATATTTGATAAATAAAATTTATAAATTCCTAAGGTCTACTCACGTTCACAGTAATATTTGTTTAGCTTCTTTGTCTTTGCTCACTTCGTTAAACTTTAGGCATTTGGATAAACTTAGTCATACAAAAAATTGTGATATTCTATAATGGTGCACTACAAAAGGATTAGAAAAGTTCTCAGTCTCCCTATGGACTATATTTATGATTTAAAGTTTTATTTTGATGCTAAAGTATCTTCAGTTAAACCTTCAACTCAAATTTTAAAGTCTTAAAATCCTTATGAAATCCTAGCTACTAAATTAATACATTTTCAAGGTTAAGCCTAAACTGAGGTATACTTAATAGATGGTCTTCAAACTCTTGAGAGATGTGCTGAATACGGCATTTAAAATGTTTAATGGAAAGGCTTCCCAAGATAAACAGAAACGCTCCTAGCGGGAGCCCTACGGTCACCCAAAGAGGTCGATGGGCACAACAACTGCACCTGAATTACGGCAATACTAACCACCAGGCAAAGCTTTCTCGCCTCCCGCACCTGCCGCCGGGCTCTGCCCAAGCTGTGGGCACCTTTGGGTTGACTGCCCTACTCTGCCTGGTCAAAGCAAGGCCAGTCTCCAAGTTCCTTCTCTATAGAAAATCTCTCAGAGCTTCTGGGTGTGGCAGCCGAAAATTACATGCTGTCCTATATGACAGCTGAAGGTCACGACTACTGCCCCAACAGAGCACGAGATTACAGGAACATAGAGCAACCACCTCAGCTGTGGGTAATTCTCCTGTCATTGGAATTGATACGTCTGCCATTTAGATGATGCCCTCAGTTACAATTTATCCTTCTCAGATCTCTGATGATATTGACCAACTGTACCATTAACAGCAACAAGTATTCAGCCCCTCCCACAAAGCCTTCTCAACTCTCTTCGTATGTAAAAACTTAGGCCTCAGACCTCACTTCCTAGAGCTACTAGATACACAGCTGAGAAAGACCCTTTACCTTGCTACTCTGAAAAGAGATAAGGTAACAAAACAGGTTTCAAAGTAATGTTTTACTATTCCATTAGTCTGTTTTTATGAAAATTCTATGCTAAAACAAAACAAAACAGGATCCAGAAATATATCCACACAACTCCAGATCTTTAATTTTTTTTAATTTTTTTTTCTTTTTTCCTTTATTTTCCCCCAGGGCAGGGTTTCTGTATGTATCCTTGGCTGTCTTGGAACTCACTCTGTAAACTAGGCTAGGCTGAAACTCACAAAGATTTGCCTGACTCTGTCTCCCAAGTGCTGGGATTAAAGGCATGAGCCACCACCACCTACCAGATCTTTAATTCTTAATAAAGATGTTAAAAACACACATTAGAGAAAAGACAGCTATATACTGCTCTAGTTGGTAGTTGGACCTGGGAAGGTGGAGCCTAAAAATGAGTCATACAATACAAGTCTCATACAATAGCCAATTTTATTTGAAGCATCAGACAATACTCTGACAGTTAAGAAAGGTCACCTGAGTAAAGTTCTCATGAGTTCAAGCTGTATATAATCACAAGCGCAAGTTTCACACAGCAAAGACATGTTTTTCCATAGAGACATAGAAGCAAATGACAATAGCTAGTTGTAATGAATAATCTAAACTCCTATTTGCTACACCTGGGAGGGACGTGAAAGCACATTCCAAGAACACTTCTGCGCTTTTATAGTAACTGAGGTCACAAGACTCTTGTTCTCTTGGAGTTTCCTCACAAGCACTTAGAATTCCCATCTCACAACTCCATTCTTGGACTGCGTTCCAAATGACAGCCTGTAAACAAATGGAACCAGATATCCTCATGAAGCACAAAATCGCTTTCTAAACTTAATTCAAGATGGGCCACATACTCTAATGTAAGACCTGGAACTCCGAGACTACCAAAGGAAAATGCAAGGAAAACACTCTGCTTTAAGCATAAAGAACAACTTCCTAAACAGAACTGCAGGGCTCAAGAAATAATATGCAAAAGTCAACAAATGGGTTTGCAGCCAGTTAAAGAGTTTCTGCACAGCAAGGGAAACAAGAGACTACAGCGAAAGCCTACAGAGTGGGAAAAATCCTCACCAGCTTTTCTGCCAATAGAGTTTTAATATCCAGAATACACACACACACACACACACACACACACACACACACACACACACACACA